GAGGATCCCATGGACAGCCAGAAGGACAAACAAGTGGGTCCTAGAGCAAATTAAGCTGGAAACTACCCTGGAAGCCAAAATGACCAAACTGAGACTGTCGTACTCTGAACAAAGCATGAGAAGGGAGGACTCATTGGAAAAAAAACAATAATGCTGGGGAAGGTGAAGTGAAGTAGGAAAAGAGGGAGGCCACATGCCAGATGGATGAACTCTATTAAGGAAGTCATGGGTATGGGTTTGCAGGAATTAAGCAGAGTAATGGAAGCGAGAGGGTCTTGGAGATGTCCCATCCATAGGTCACCATGAGTTGAGATCAACTCGAGGGCAGTTAACAACAACAACAACAACAACAACAACAACAACTAGTGCCACTCTATTCTGCCTTGGTCAGGCCACACCTGGAATACTGTGTCTAGTTCTGGGCACCACAATTTAAAAATAATATTGACAAATTGGAACATGTCCAGAGGAGGGTAATTAAAATGGTAAAGGGTCTGGAAACCTTGCCTTATGAGGAAAGATTAAGGGAGCTGGGTATGTTTAGCCTGGAGAAAGGACTGTTAAGGGATGATATGATAACCCTGTTTAAGTATTTGAAGGGGTGTCACATTGAGGATGGAGCAAGCTTGTTTTCTGCTGTTCCAGAGACTAGAACACGGAACAATGGATGCAAGCTACGGGAAAAGAGATTCCACCCCAACATTAGGAGGAACTTCCTGACAGTAAAAGCTGTTTTTGTTACTGGTGCTACTGTTGCTTTTATTGATACTGATGCTGAAGAAATTCCTACAAGGAAAATTGTATCATAAAGACTCCAAATCAATCAAACTAAAATGATACAAAAGGGGGGGGGGGAAACAAACAGAAGAAAAAGTAAGCAAGCAATGGAGCAGCATCTCATTCTATAATCAATCAACTGAGTTCTAGCTGTATCAGGCACAATCCTTCACACCCATTAACACTCTGCCACAACATAAGCAGAAGTGCTTTTTGCCACATCCATTCATACTCTATAAAGAGACTGTGATAATAAACTTTCAAAATAAATAAATAAAAATGCTGAAGAGGGAAAAGGTAATGTGTCAGAAAGCAAATGTGTACAATATATTTCGAATATTAAATATTGTAATGCTGCACTGCAATGAAATATTGTAATGCTGCACTGTATCATTAAAGCTCCCATCTGAAGAATATATGGACGTTATCACATGGGGGCCAGTTTTGTGGTTAAAGAAATAATAAAGTGGAAATAAAACATCCCAAAAATAAAGCGAAAATAGTGCTAAATTGCGCAAAAGCATTTCTCACATAATTAGAATAAAAACGGAATTAAGTGAAAAGCGAACAAAAGACGTTTTTAACTTTCATACTCAAGTGAAAAAACCTGTAAATGTACTAGAAATGGGCGCGTTTTGTTTTGCTTTCAGGTGACCAGACTCCTCCTTTTTCAGGGTGGGTCCTGCATTTCATTCAGCCTTTTCTCCTCTCCAGGAGGAAATGGCAAACTGTACTCCATTTGGAGCATGAGTAAGAAGCATGATTTTCTATTTCTATGTGT